TAACATATTACAATTTAAAGCAAAATTATTTGACCATTTGACAGTAAAAATGTGCAATAAATCGTGCAGAATTCTATATTCACTGCACAAAATCTTACGATATTTTTATATTCTCCGCAGCTCAGAAGGCTTGACACCTTTTCATTAAAAATTGTTACCACAAATCCTCCTCGCAGTTTTTACCAAAATTTATGTGAGATGTGATGAAAAAATTTCCTCAAATGAAATTTTGACAAATTGCCGTTTGATGAGCAAAAATGCAGCTGGGGCGATATTCTGCGACCAAGTTAAAACGAAGTCAGTGGAAAGGCAGGTGTCTCCATAATAGGACGTAATTGAGGTTGACTCTTTAATGATAGGACCGTGACAAGTGTTAAGACAATTTTGCAATTACTGCTCGCGTCATTCTTGTCGTTGGTGGCGTCCATAGTAACATTTAACTATGTGAGTCCTCCATCATGGTATGCAGCTGTAAAAGTTAGCTCCTAAATATGTAATGACCCTGTCCTTATATTGAGGTTAACTTTAGTTAAATGTTATTTTGAAGTAAAACCCACATATTTCTGAAAGATGAATTTAATTTTCCTTTGCACTATGCGTTCCATTTAACTGCCTGAGAACATTTTATGAAATATTTGTTAAAATGTAATCTTTTATGTAAGATTTAAACTGTGACATTGAACTGTATCCGAATTTCTCTTCAATTACTTATTTGAGTTTCATTCTGATTATGTTTGAATTCGAAATTCCTCCCATTAAAATGAAACGTGACTTATATAGTGTAGTGAATATATTGGATAAATTACATTTATATGCAGTGAAGAAAATAAAAAGTTAAGATATTTGGAGGTAGAGAGAAAGTTAGTTAATGGAACTGAATCAATATCTGGAGGAATAGAGACCATTTTTTAAGGAATTTCCGCGTCATAACTAGGTAGGCTCAATTTTAGTCTACGGATGGATTCAAACCCTCAACTTCAGTTATTCTTCTCACTCGAACCCGAGTGAGTTGATAAGAGATAAATTCATTTACAACGCATTTTCTTCATTGTTTAATTTTACTGTCATTGTTCCTTTTAAGTAAACAGTCAATAAACACTAAACTCCAATTGAGGATACGAAAGGATAGGATAAAATATTTTATTTTTGTCTGAAAATAGATGAGGCCTCTTTATCTCGAATCCTGCTTCACTTGGACTTAAAAGTAACTAATAAAGTCTTAGCCTGCCAATTCACTCGTTCTGATTCAATCACTTCGCAAAAACAGCCGATTCTTATTGCAGTGCTTTGAATGAGATTCGCTTCAATCCAAAAGATTAATTGCGATTCTTTAATGCTACTTACTGATATTTATCAGCCTAACGTTACCGTATGCCTCCTTTCATTTCCCTTTAAATTCTTTTTCATTTATATATCACTATCGCTATTTCTATTCATTTCACTTCATGTTCATCTAATTTACCTAATCATTTGGGTTGGGAAGAAATTGTAATTTTATGCAATTCAAATTATTATAAAGTCCCCGAGGTTTATGAAAAGGAAATAGCGAATAGTCCAGCTTCACAAACTTAATAAACTGAACGATAATTCACATGCATTTGGGCAGGTTTTTGCAAAGACAGTAAGTAAAACAATAAATAAATATTTGAATCCACTATTTGAACGAAAGACTTTGGTGAATTCTATTCATTGGACAATTGTTTAATGACTATATAAATATGGTTTAGTAGTGGATGCAGGAAGGATTAATTGAGAGATGTTACAAAATTATATTTCATTCAAAAATCTTTTTGTTAAAAAAAATTGATTTGATTTCACTTAAGATTTAGCTTTGAGATTTCTCTCTCTCTCTCTCGCCCCCCCCCTTGAAAATTTTCTCTGAAAATATCAAAAAAAAAACCCCTTTTCTTTTCTTTCATGTATTTAACTTCTTTAAAGTTTGGATAACTCTTACTATATTATTATTTCAATTACAATACTTATGTCTTCTGTGATGTCCGTGGTAGCCTAGTGGTCATGGCCGCGGACTCGTGGCTGGAGGTTTTCGTCGTATCAAGTTCGAGCCTTGATGCCACTAAAGACCCAAAATGTAGCCGGGACTGATGCACGCTAAATCTGTCCGGGCCCAAAGTCCTCCCGTGGCTTGGAGTGGGTTTGATGGCAGCTCAGGTTCGTCTTCGTCACTTGACCGTTGTTCAAAATTACGAGGTTCGTCGCCAATAGCCCTAGTGTTGCTTCTAGTGCGACGTTGATAAAACCAAACAAAAATCTTCAGTGTTGATTTCTAATGAATTGGAAAAGTTTAAAATACTCTTATTATATATATTTTTTTATGAATTATAAAAAGCTTGAGATTTTTTTATTAATTCGTTTTCCACTATTAGTAGGTATTTTTTATATTCTACCATTTGAATGCAATGAGACAATATTCAAAACTCTTTTTTTTTTCTTTTCTTTTTTACATATCATAAAAATTTTCTAAGAGAAACTACTAGGATTTAATAACTCGATCATCTTATAAGTAAAGACATATTTTTACAGTTATTTCATATAAAATAATAACAATAATCAATAAAAAAAATGGGTGAAACGTCATCCACACATACTTCGTAATTGTACAAAAAAAAAAATGGCTATCGTATTCTGTACGATTGAATTATGTGTTATGAATATTTGACGTTATGACACAGTTGGAAAGGAAGGCTCCTTTAATAGCATGGGATAAAAGTACTGTTAGTGCGAGAACAAATTTGACGTTTCATTGGTAGATTATCGTCGCGTGCTGGAATACATTCTAGTAGATGATTTGCCCTTGAAACCGCCGCGCCCACTGACCATGTGATCAGATAATTGTCCACAGTTAAAAGAAAAAATAATAAGTAAATATTTGCGAACTGTTTCCTATTGTGTAGAGTGCTATTTCACTGACGATAAGTGAAAGAGCATGCAATAGAAATTCTACTCACGTTTACGTTTGTTTGAATACTCAACGTGTCCTGCTTCTCTTTGATTGAAGAGATTTGCTATAAATAATGCGACTTCCTGGACAGTTAGGGTCGAGATAGTTTATCTTCCTTTTTTTCATCCAGCTGCGTTGGTGGTGGTGTATATCGTTACACAAACAAATGCACTCATGACAGAAGCGCCATGGACCTTATCTCTACGATCATCAGGTAATTGTTTGAAAAAAAAATTCGGTAGATATATTGATGTATACTGTAAAAAAAGCATGAAACGGAGTGGACTTATTGCTTCTTTTGATTCCTTTTTGACATAAAACACAACGTAAAAAAAATTGGGCGTTTTTCAATTTCTCGGTGGTATTATGACTATATTCATTGATATAAGCAGATTTAAAAAGTATTATAAAGCATGATAATAAATATATATGGTCGCAAATATATTACCGAAACACACACACATATGTGTGTGTGTGTGTGTTTGTATGTAGTAGTAGTAGAGTGTTGACCGTCCAAAAATATTGATTAACCGAAAGCGTTCTAATCGACGAATTCAAATTTCGTGACGAACCTGCCATGCTTTATACGGGCCATCTATTTAGGAAGCTTTTCACTGCCCTGAGATGGGTAAGAAGTGGTTAGAACAAGAAAAATGGGATGCTGTCCAATAACTGTCTTTAAGACATTAGCGAAATTTGACGGTGGATGGGAGGGGGACAATTTTCTCAGTTCTGAAACAAATGAAAATGTTTGACCTTTTTCTTGAACTGTTGGTCTACTGTAATGGCAATTTTGAATTTGCTAAACTATGCTAGGAAGTTCTCTGCGTTATTTATAGAGGAGTGATACAAAATATATACATTTGTGTGTTTAATAAAGGTTTTTTTTTTATTTCGTATTGCGCCTAACACACTGGTATAGTTCTTTTCAGTAAATGATTGGTTAACCGAAAAAATGGTTATCTTATAACTGATTATATATATATATATATATATATATATATATATATATATATATATATATGAGTATGTGATATACATCTTGAGTATGTGATATACATCTTGAGTATGTGATATACATCTTCTCTTTTGAGTATGTGATATACATCTTGAAGCTTAAAGAAAATTCCGTCTTACTACTCGCATATTTGAATCTTCATTTCTTTGAATTTTGTAAGTAATTTTTATATTTTGATTTGTTGATAATTTTTAGAATGATAGATTTTATTTTGTAAATTTTATCTTTGAAATTTTTTGCATTTTTTAATCACTGAACTCTTTTGTAATTTGGATTTCCCAATTCAGCCTACCAGGAATTATAGATTTTATTTTTGTAGATTTTATCGCTGAATTTGTTTGCATCTTTTAATCATGAAGTCTTTTGCAATTTGGATTTCCTAATTCAGCCTACCAAGTCGCAAAGGGGGAAGGTTGGTACCATTAAACTAGTTTAACCCCGCTTAATCGGTCCTCAGCCCGATATTGCTTTTTGACTTGCTGGGTTCCATATTTTCATTTATTTTTCTTTCATTGTTACATTTCTTTCTGGATTTTTGTCTTTTTAAATATTTTAAATTATTCTTTCATAAATTTTCAGTATATATATATGTGTGTGTAAGTGTTTGCATATACAAATAATCGGATCTGATTTTTTTTTTATGAAATATTCCATAATGTCAAATTTTGTATCTATACTTAGGGTATCCATTAGGGGGTAATGTACACATGTGTGTGTGGTAATTTTGTAAAAAATCTGGTATAGTTGGAACAGTTCTCTTCAGTAAAGGATTGGTTAACCGAAAAAATGATTATCTTATAACTGATTATACATCTATATGTAAGTGTTAGCATATACAAATAATCGGATCTGATTTTTTAAAGAAATATTCCATAATGTCAAATTTTTTATTAATACTTAGGGTATCCATTAGGGGTAATGCACACATGTGTGTGTGTGGTAATTCTATAAAAAAAAATAAATATTCTGAATAAAATTTTTCTTCTTGTAGTACAATAAAAAAGGGGGGATTTTTTTTAAGCATTTACGTAAAAATAACTGAAGCTAGTTTATCACGGATTAGAACTCAAATCTATTGGAAGCATTGGCAATTACCAGTATTAAGCCCTGTAAAAGCAACCACATGACAAGCAACGGAAATCGTGTGACCATAAAATCCTGTGAAATTGCTCTGTGACGTGTGTCGCGCTTAAAGAAACTTATCCTGCGCCATCGATCGCGATAAAGATTTCAATCGCTGATGACTAATCTGTTTAGTAAAGGTGAATGCTTTAAACGCGCTATTAAGATTAGCCTTGACAACAATCAGATAATGAAATAAGCCTATTATGAAAGTGTTTTAATACCTTTCTTCTGCCATCATTTAATCTTTGGATTCCTTCCCCCCCCTTTCTTGTTTTTACTTTATTGTGGCTTTAGATAATGATAGATATTTGAAAGCAATGAAGAGGTAAAGAAAAATAATTTCTGAGAAGAAATGTAATAAATCATATAAAGAGAGAAACGCAATAAATCTTATAAACAGCTTTTTATTTCTTTCTGGGACTATTGCGGTAATGTACATTTTCATTTGACATAAATCTTTTCAATATATATTAATCATAAGGGATTATTTTTACTAGTGAGAGGCAATAGTGCGATAAAAATTTCAAGGTGTATTATCATTCTTTTTTAATGAAAAATAAAATAAAAGTGTTTCATGCTGTTCATATCTGATTAAAATTAAGATATCGTAATCTATATATTTTTATGTAATTAAACAAGATTAAATACTTTTTAAAAATATTTTTGTTTAATTTAAAATTTTCACCAGCTTATGGTAGAAAAATTCGCTAATATTAATGTAGCAAATCTTATTTATATTTGTATTTATTAAAAAATAAAAAAAATTCATCTCTATATCCAAGTTTTAAACATATGAATAATTAAATTTTTTAAAACTCTCATTTTTTCATAATGACTGTGATTCTTGTCTTTGATCTTATTGATATTTAAGTAATTCATTGCTCTTCGACATATTTGTGAAACAAATTCTCTAGAAAATTTGAAGACTCATTCGAAAATTAAAATTAATTTGGTGTTTACAAAAAAAGGGAGGATACAAAAAGATATTGTTTATAAACTTTGAGAAACCATTCTTATCCGTATAGTATTTAATTGTTTATAATTATATTATACTTCCTTTTGTGTTATTTATTCATTTTCGCTTTATTTTGTTTATTAAAGCTATTTAAGCCCAATATCATTTATGATAAATGTACGATATCGAAGTGGAAAGAAAGATATGCAACGAAATATCCATTGAATTATTTATTTTATAATTCCTTTGTCTATGTTATTATGTAATCAATTTGTAATTTTACGTAATTGTAGATTTTAACTATTTTTTGAAAGTAGGTATTTTGCCTACTTTCAAATGGAACAGAACTAAAATATGAAATAATTCTCTATTTATAAAAATTCTTATTACGGATTCATTTGAATAAAATAAATCAGTAATAAGGATTTTAATTAAAAAAAGAATTAAATCAAAGAAGAATAAAAAAATTCTTTCTGGTTTATGAAACATATTAACAGGATAAAATATTATTACGTTTGCTGTATGTTTAAGCTGAGTAATTTTTTTTGACAACACTCATGTTCCATGTTACCCATAAAACCAGCTTAGATATAAATATCTCGATCCTTATTTTTCTGTAATAATTGCTCTTCCCTCATTTGATATCTTGAGACCAAATTGCGTTATTTGTTTAGTCTTTATACAACACTTATCATTAATTTATTTTCACCTCACATACGCACATCTTATCTCTATGTTTTTCTTTGTTTGTTCTAATCGATAAAGATGATGGTTATTTTTATCTGTAGCACAGATAATTAGTTTCTTTTTAAAGCACTTAATAAATACAAATAAGTTTCTTAGATGTTAATTTATTATTTATTTATGAATCAGAACTATTTCTGGGATACAGAAGTATAAAATTAGTACTAATTTCTTTAGAGAAATTGCACATAAATCCTAAAAGAAAAGTCCCTTATCGTTTTATCAATTATTTAATAAAAACTTATTTACTGTTCGTTTTAACATTTTATCTATTTCAA